TTTTGTGGGTTGTGAGCAAGTGAACAGAAACACTTTTTTGAACCGTTCCTAATCTGGGCACGAGGGTTCCAATACCCCGGACATCTGGTAGGCGAGAGGCCACACGACTTTAAACCTTAGGGCGTCATACCTTAAGGAAGGAGATTATATAAAAGCTACATCCGGGTATACGTCCTGGGCCCAGCTTGGAGCCACTGGTGACATACCCTATTGAGCGGCGGCCGATACAGTTAACGAGCAACACCCATGCTTATTAGTACCCGCCTGTCATTCCTCTACTGAAAGTTATGACTACACCTTGCTGAGGACTTGTTCCAGCAGCAGCATCACGGTACTACCGTCTCCCTATGCTGATGGAGGCGCCCCTCGGAACTCCAGAGTGACTTAACGGGGTCTTTGGCTCATGCCACACTCAATAAGAGGACCGCTCGGGGCACCCGCGCCAGTCCACGCCTTATACGCTGCCACCATCGGGGAAACCTGGTGCTGGAAGCCTACCACTTGTCTCCCCAGCTTCCTCCGTGATGTATGATGATGTTATCATCATATATGAAGTTAGAGGTAGTAGGGTCGAGGGTGGTAGGGTGTGCGTGGGGAGCGGGTGCGGGCTGCACCAGCAGCAGGTAGAGGACTCAAGGTCTTGAGCAAAAGCAAAGGAGGAAAGAGCGTGGTGGGGTGGGCAGGCGCACCACAAAAAGGGTCCCCCGCTGCCAACTAGTTCTCATGGCCAGGTGGGGGATGAAATTAGTATTTAAATCGGAGGGAACAAGTGGTAACGGTCGGAGAGGCAGGCACACGGTAGGGCCAAACAATAGCTGCTTCCCACCACTGGGTAACGTTTTCACCCGCTCTGCAACCCTGCAACCTCTGGTTAGAGGGGAGGGGAGAAGGAAGGAGAGATAGGAGGGAGGGAAAGTAGAAGGTGAGAGGTTTTTATCTTGGTCCACTTGTTTATTGGGACTGAGAGTCCGGGGAGAACCCCTTGTGTTGCGTAACCAAGCTCCCGCCAAGGCCACCACATAAATATATGATGAGATGAGACAAATTGTCACCAGATTGACGTGTAGGGAGGTGCCCAGCCTGGTCTTTGTTTGTTGGAGAGGTGTCCAACCTGGTCTGTGTATGTTGGGGAGGTACTCAGCCTGGTAACGTCGTGGGTCGTCGAATAATACAGTTGTCATTTTAGTTTCAGTGACCTACAGTATAGTGAGAGCAGCAACTGTGGGCCCGCGGGTGTACTTCCAGACACCAAGGTAACTGTACGACACCTTCAGTGTCTTTATCACTTTCGTATAACGTAAACAATATAAAGGTTTGTAAATAAAGTAGATCACTATTATGTTACAGCACTCATTTTATACGTTATGAATCATTTAACGTAAAACACATGATTAAATAAACCACGAAATGAGATTCTTTAGAAACGATTCTGTCTGAGTTCGAAAGGGGGCCTCCCATGACCAGGGAGGCTATGTGACACCTTCCAGTTAGCGGAGGCTAAGGTGGCACAGGTCAGAGGTTAAAGGTCAGGTGACAACTGGCACTGTACCCATGTAACCTTCCTGCTATGGGAGGAGGGGGGGGGGGTCGGTCGTACGTGGTATTACTACCGTGAAAATTGTGGTAACAATACCTGGGCGGCCCTTTGTAGGCTGTGTATTGTATGTAATATTTCGACAAATAAAAAATAACATTGCCAATTCTATTTTTTAACTTTTACTGTGTCATTAAAAACATTATAACATTAAGGCCTTGATTCGTTGATAAGAAATACCGTTGCCAATGATTATATACCATATCATCACGACAGCACCAACGTATGGATAAACAGCAACATTTATTTGATAACGTTTAAACAAATTTCTTATCATCATCAGACCTAAAACACAAATTTAAAATACAATAGCATCGGGAAAATTAATGTGACGAATAAAATAAGACAAATAAATCGCGAAGTACATTGAGAGAAAATACGTTTAACAACAAACCCTTGAGTTATTCATTATTAACCTTTACTCCAATTTAACTACACATAGCAAAAATACAAATGAACAAAAGCTTAGATCCTACGGCTGAATATACGAAGATTAGCACATATGTCACAAAGATGAACGTGATAACATTCTAATATGTATTACTAAATCCATGTTATAATCCATATGATACTAGAAGATATATAATAATTCCTTGAGATAAATGTAAAAAAAAAATAGTGCCAATTAGTATGCCTCGGCTTTCACTTGTCAATGTTATTGTTATTCTTCATTTTGTATCTAATTTTCTGGCTTAATATACTGTTTCAATATAAATATTAATATCAATAGGAAATATAGACATTACATATAAACACAGACACACGACACGACACGATATTTTGAATACCAGTTGCAGAAGACGACGTTGTTTTCCTAGTGGTTGTGCATGAGAGTTGAGGCCCCGCCCACCCCTCTCCTCCGCCATGCAGTCATGAATGGGAGGTGTAGCGTACGGCGCCACTGTTACCACATACACTGAGCTAAGTACCTCCACCCTACACACTTTCCTTATAGAGGGTCTTCATAAGTTTATTACAAACATTTCTATACAAATAACAATCATGCTATTTGTAATTAATTATAAATGTATATGAAACTCTCAAGGTACAATGAATGAAAGTAAGAATCAGTAGTTGAATGGGTGATGGTAACAGTGTGTGGCCTCGGGATGGTGAGGTGAGTGTGTTTACATCCCGGCCACCACGTGCGTTAGGCCTACCGCACACCCGCTGTTTTTGTTTGTTGTTTGTATTCGTCTGTAGATACCAGCCTAGTGTTTATTCTGTGTTTGTGTTAAATTAGGGAGAGGTCCTGAGTAATTTAAATGATGGAAAGGTTGGTAACACAAGGTGCGTGTATTAACTAATGCTCACACACACACACACACACACACACATTACCCTCCATCCCGTCTCCACCCGCCCCTCCACTATACCCTCCCCTTCTTTCCTTGCCCCTCCTTTCAGGGCAGACCTGCCCATGCCCACACGCGCCCCGCTCCTCACCCGACAGCTGCTGTAAATCCCTGCCAGCTACCTTTCCCCTCCAAGCCTCCTGGCCCACTCTCACCCCCCCCCTTCCTCTCCTAGCCCACTCTCCCTTTCCAGGCCTATCCTCCCTCCACCTCCCCCCCCTGCATCTGTCCTCCCCCTCCCTCTTGCCTCAACATCTTCCCACTCCCTCGTCCTACATCACCTGTTTCATGTAATTAGTTGTCTGTTGACAGTTATTATGAAAGGTATATATATATATATATATATATATATATATATATATATATATATATACATATATATATATATATATTACAACCACTCACTTTACAACTAAATCTATATACTTTACATTACAACCACACACAACTACATCCATACACACTCTTTACAACTGCTTGCATTACCACACACAGATTTAGTCTTGGTTGCCCACTTTACGCCTGTCTGGCCAAGTATTAGCACCAGTCTTCACTCTCTTGTTCTGTATCATCCTCCAGTTTTTCTCTGCCTCCACCGTTCATCTCCACTCATGTTTTTGTGGTGTTTTGTGTCCTGTTGGTATATACGCCACCCCTTGGTATATATATGCTACCCCTTGGTATATATATATACGCCACCTTTGCTATATACGCCACCCCTTGGTATATACGCCACCCTTAGTATATACACCACCACCCCTGACTCACTTTGCGTAACCTCCAGTCTCCCAGCCGTTATGGTGGATTTTTTTTTTACATTGACTGGAAGTTGGTTAGTAGAGTATGCGGGTTCTCTTGTGGTAAATAAAGTGTTATGTTGTGTGTGTGTGTGTGTGTGTGTGTGTGTGTGTGTGTGTGTGGTATAGCTGTAAAGTTCTTTAAATTGTAGTGTGTAGGGGGGAGGGCGGGGGCAGCCTTTTCCCTTGTTTGATTTACAGTATATATATTTTTTTGTTTCCCATAAAGAAATTGTTAAAAAATAAGTATTTGATTTATAAGATGTTTATTTTTATATTTCTTAAGTACTATTTATTGAAACTTCTTGACTGAGGTTGACCACTTAAGGAAGGGTGACACAGGTTCAGTGGTGTGGCAAACATTGGTCTTGTTGAGGAAGTTTTCAAATTGGTGAAGCTTTAAGGCAACGGTGACGACCCACCTCCCTCCCCCCCACCTCCCTCTCTCCCTCCAGTCGCTACCATCTTGGGTGTGTACCGGCGGCATTCATCTCCTTCTTGCCTCCTTATCCCCCCCCACCCTCCTCCTGGTCCACACGTCATCGTAGGGGTCGCGTGGCGCCTCACAATCTCTGGGTGCTGAGAGAACCACCGACTCTCCCCTCGAACCAAATTGCCATAAGTCTGCATTACTTGTAATTTGGATCCGTGCTAGTCGTTTTGCTTTCCTTGGAGATGATGTTGCTAGTATTACACTTGCAGTTGTTGTTAGTACAGACTGGCCTTTTAAGTATCTGATGGGTAAAACCGTAATATATTTACACAGGGTTCTGGCCACGTGGGCATACCAGGGTCGTGCCCATGTGACACCTGTCAACCGCCATCACAGGCGCACGACAGCTGTTTCTCACTCGCAGCCATTGGCTGCCTCGCGGGGCGGGAAGTAACCTGATTGGCCCATGAGTGTGGAGGGCGGAGAAAGCGTAGCGCCTGTACTTGCCAGATACTATTAGGCTAGATTAAAGTATCAATTTATTCATAATCATTTATCCTTTGATTTGAAAAGTTGCTTTCTAAAATGACCAATATTGTTTAGAATTTACGTTTTAAGTACTAAATTGATACAGAAATATGTTCTTACTAACTAGTATCCATATGAATTCATTCTTTGGCAGCAAGTTCTTACGAGGCACGAGCGGTGAAGCCCCGCCTTCCACACCTGATTGGCCGACGGCACGCTCCATCTGCACCTGCTTCCCTCGACGGTATATAAGGCATCGCACGCGTCGCGCAAAACAGAACAGTTAGACCTGCACTAGAGTCAACTACACACCTCGTGCTTGATAGTGAGTTGTGAGAGAAACCATGCCAAGCTCATTCATGGTTAAGCGCAACTATGCGCATTGCCCGCTCAAGAAACGGCCTTTGGCCCTATACAACGAACCAGCCACGTCTCCCCCGGAGCAGGATCAACCCGAGGATCTTAGTGTGAAACGGCCCCGCCTGGAGTCTCCTGCAGAAGCGTCCACAGTGTGCCCACCTGCCACAGCCCCTCTGTGGCCTTCCTCCCCCTCCCTACCCACCACCGCAGTGCCCACAGTGCTCCACACAGTGCCTCGCCACACACCTTCGTCACCCCCTGCAGCTCGTGTGGCCGAGAGTCTACCCTCTTTGGCCGAGTACTACCTCCAGCTCTTCAAGTCTACCTCGGACGTTGTGGAGCCCCGGCGGGTGGAGACTCGGCCCTCTCTGCCCCAGTGGACGACGCCCTACCTGCCGCCCTCACCCCAGGCCTCGCCTGTTACCTCAGAACATCTGGCAGTCAGTCCTGTGCCATTCCACTGCTATCCAGACACCTCCGCCCTCATCTCCCCTGTCTCCACCTGCTCTTCCACCGCCTCAGAGTCCGAAGACGACGTGGGAGTTCCCAGGCAGCGACGAGAGGCACGTTACTCCTGCAGTGACTGTAGCAAGTCGTACTCCACGTACTCTGGGCTGAGCAAGCACAAGCAGTTCCACTGTGCAGCTCTGGGCGCCAAGTCGTTCGCGTGCAAACACTGCGACAAAGTGTACACAAGTCTGGGTGCCCTCAAGATGCACATCCGCACCCACACATTGCCTTGCAAGTGTCAGCTCTGTGGCAAGGCCTTCTCGCGGCCCTGGCTGCTGCAGGGCCACATCAGGACCCACACCGGTGAGAAGCCTTTCCAGTGTTCGCAATGTGACCGCTGCTTCGCTGACCGCAGCAACCTGCGGGCACACCTCCAGACTCACGCTGATGTCAAGAAGTACGCGTGTGTCACCTGCCATAAGACCTTCTCCAGGATGTCCCTCCTTAACAAGCATACCGAGGCCGCCTGCCCCGCCAGACCCCACCATCAGGAACAGCCCCAGGAACAGCCCCCAGAGGCCGACCAGTAGCAGCTGTCACCTTCCTCCCCCAGATTCTCTTGAAGTTGCCCCGCGGCGCGGGGCGGCCTAGTCCCCAGCTAGTCAGCGTGCTCACCACCCTGTTGTGTTCCTATGATGGTCACTAGTCTAGATAATAAGCCATATTCGTCCCTCGGGACCACCAAGCCAAAGAGATTATGTATTACTACTACTTTTTATACTGTAATAAAATATATTTGAATTTAATCCACTTGTATCACTGTATCCCCAAACACATTATGTACCTTGATGATTACTGAAGCAGAACAAAGTAAACAATGTTAACAAACACTGAAGGTTACAAACTTGTACAGTCAATGATGAGAAGTCTGCAGCAAACTTAGAGATCAATGAGACATGAACTTAGAAATGAATGAACATTTATTGAATATGAATAAGTTTAAGCACATAACAATTCTATTTAGAAAGGACATATAAACAACTATGATAAAAACATTGAAAGCTGATGTAAATAAGCTAAAGAAAATCACTTTCTTTAGTAAAACAAAACCATCACTAACAAAAGACAACAAAGAAGAATAATAAACGCAACATCTGATGAACACTGGTATGAGTGTGTCAATGTTGAACACTGAACATCCTTATAGCCTATATACTATAATTAATAATATCAAGACTGATTAATTATTAAAGAAACTGTCACTGTTGAGAGGTAAACAATCAGGTGCTACACTGACTCAACCAACACAACATGTACGCTCACACATGCATGCATAACACACACGTTATTAACATGGGTCGTATATTAAGATATTTTCTACGATGATACAGATAAGTAACACAATTTGACAACACAGTACGTGGTAGTATACAGACGAGAGAATGTAAAAAAAAAATAATGAAAATGAAAGAGTACACTTACCGATGTTTGTACTTTAAAGAGTAGTAATTGGCAGGAGGGGGGGGGAGTACCTGACCCAAGCTGACCTGACAAACCCATCAGTTGCTCCTCAGAGGTCAGGTCAACCTTCCCTCTTCCCAGTTTCACCTAATATTGACCTTTTTGTGTGTTTATAAACTCTAGATGAATATTATAAAAAAAAGGTTTATTGTAGTAGTTTCTCTTTAGTAATCTGATACAAGTTAAATATATTTGTGTATAGAGTAGAGCAAATTATTAGCCTGTATAGTAGGTGCAGGTGGTGATGGTAGGTGGAGGTGGTGATGGTAGGTGGAGGTGGTGATGGTAGGTGGAGGTGGTGATGGTGTGATGCAGGTGGTGATGGTAGGTGCAGGTGTGATGAGTAGGTGACAGGTGGTGATGGTGGTGCAGGAGGTGGTGGTGAGTGGAGGTGGGTGATGGTGGGTGGGTGGTGATGGGTAGGTGCAGGTGGTGATGGTAGGTGGAGGTGGTGATGGTGTAGGTGCAGGTGGTGATGGTAGGTGCAGGTGGGTGATGGGTGGGGTGCAGGTGGTGATGGCCGGTGGAGTGGGTAGGTGATGGGGTGCGGGTGGTGATGGGGTGGTGGTGATAGGTGCAGGTGGTAATGGTAGGTGCAGGTGGTGATAGTAGGTGGAGGTGGTGATGATAGGTGCAGGTGGTGATGGTAGGTGGAGGTGGTAATGGTAGGTGGAGGTATTGTTGGTAGGTGGTGGTGATAGGTGCAGGTAGCAATGGTAGGTGGAGGTGGCGATGATAGGTGCAGGTGGTGGTGATAGGTGCAGGTGGTAATGGTAGGTGGAAGTATTGTTGGTAGGTGGTGGTGATAGGTGCAGGTAGCAATGGTAGGTGGAGGTATTTGGTAGGTGGTGATGGGTGCAGGTAGCAATGGTAGGTGGAGGTGGCGATGATAGGTGCAGGTGGTGGTGATAGGTGCAGGTGGTAATGGTAGGTGGAAGTATTGTTGGTAGGTGGTGGTGATAGGTGCAGGTAGCAATGGTAGGTGGAGGTGGCGATGGTAGATGCAGTTGGTGATGGTAGACAACACCTCGGTGAGTATTGTCGTCGTAGGTCAGTTTACCATCAGTATCGCCGCCCAATTTAGTACTGAACTGCATCCCAGCAAGTGGATGAAGGTCTGGACACAAAGGCAGGTGTGGAGCTGGTGTGCAAGACTCTCCGAATTATATATCAATCGTGTGTCAACCGATATATACAACCTCCTACAGCTACACATACAGATGGGTGTGTGTAGGTTTTATGTGTGTGTATCTGTGTGTGTGTGTTAAGTATTCACCTGGCAAACCCTTTGTAGAAGTGCGTGTACGTGTGCACATGGGTGTGTGAGTCCTTCCTTCCACTGGCTGTCATAAGAAGGAAGTACACACAAATTAGGGTTGCATTTTCCGGTATTGGCGAGACATATGAGTGTCGATGGGGCCGGGGACAGCTATTTAAGGATTATAAAGGCGGGGCACTTCATGGTCCTGACCCAGCCACCACCACACTCATGCTGCCTCACACTTCCTCACACAGCCCCACACTGCTTCACACAGTCCACACTGCCTCACATAGTCCTCACACTGCTTCACACAGTCCACACTGCCTCACATAGTCCTCACACTGCTTCACACAGTCCTCACACTGCCCTCACACCGCTTCACAGAGTCCACACTGCCTCACATAGTCCTCACACTGCTTCACACAGTCCTCATACTGCCTCATATTTCTCATACTGCCCTCACATAGTCCTCACACTATACTCACAGTCCTCACACAGTCCTCACACACCCCTCACACACTCCTCGCACTGCTTCACACAGTCCTCACATTGCCTCACACACTCCTTGCACTGCTTCACACAGTCCTCACATTGCCTCACACAGTCCTCCACCTGCCCTCACACAGTCCTCACACTGCCTAACACAGCCCTCACACTGCCTCACAAAGTTCTCACACTGCCTCACACGGTCTTCACAGTCCTCACACTGCCCCACACAATCCTCACACTGCGTCCAACATACCCTTATGCTGCGTTATAATTCCTCACACAGTGCTCACACTGCCTCACAGTGCTCACACTGCCTCGCACAGTGCTCACACTGCCTCACACAGTGCTCACACTGCCTCACACAGTGCTCACACTGGTCCACACAGCCCTCATACTGCCTCACACTGTCTCACACAGTTCTCATACTGCATCACACACTCCTCACACTGTTTCACAACCCTCACACTGCCTCACATAGTCCTCATACTGCATCACACACTCCTCACATTACTTCACAAATCCCTCACATTGCCTCACACAGTCCTCATACTGCATCAAACACTCCTCACACTGCTTCACACAACCCTCACACTGCCTCACACAATCCTCATACTGCATCACACACACACTCCTCCACACAGACCTCACACTCCCCACACTGCCTCACACACTCCTCACACTGCCTCCCACACTCCTCACACAGCCTCACACATCCCTCACACAGCCTCCACACACACACACTCCTCCACACAGCCTCACACACTCCTCATCCCTCCACACTGTCCCACACAGACCTCCCACACACCTCCTCACACTGTCTCACACACACTCCTCACCTGCCTCACACAGACCTCACACACACTCCTCACACATCCCCCCACACTGCCCCACACTGCCCACACAGACCTCACCTCCTCACACTGCCTCACACCTCCTCACATCCCTCACACACACTCCCACACACACTCCTCATACTGCCTCACTGACTCACACAGACCTCACACACTCCTCCACACATCCCTCACACAGCCTCACACACACTCCTCACACTGCCTCACACAGCCTCACACTGCCTCACACATCCCTCACACAGCCTCACACACTCCTCATCCCTCACACAGCCTCACACACTCCTCACACAGACCACTCCTCACACTGCCTCACACTCCTCCACACTGCCTCACACAGCCTCCACACATCCCTCCACAGCCTCACACTGCCTACATCCCTCCCACACAGCCTCACACTGCCTCACACAGCCTCACACTGCCTCACACACACACTCCTCACACAGCCTCCCACTGCCTCACACAGCCTCACACTGCCTCACACACACCTCCCACACAGACCTCACACAGCCCTCACACAACCTCACACACACACTCCTCACCTCCTCACACTCCTCACACTGCCTCACACACTCCTCACACTGCCTCACACAGCCCCCAGCCTCACACAGCCTCTGCCTCACACAGCCTCCTCACCTCACATCCTCTCACACAGCCTCACACTTCTCCACACATCCCTCACACAGCCTCACACACACACACACTCCTCCACACTGCCTCACACACACTCCTCACATCCCTCACACTGCCCCACCAGACCTCACACTCTTCACACTGCCTCATACTGCCTCACACACTCCTCACACAGCCTCACACTGCCTCACACTGCCCCACACAGACGTCACACTCACCTCACATCCCTCACACTGCCTCACACACTCCTCCACACAGCCACACATCCCTCACACTGCCCCACACATCCCTCCACTGCCTCACACACTCCTCACACAGCCTCCACACATCCCTCCACACTGCCTCACACATCCCTCACACTGCCTCACACATCCCTCCTGCCTCACATCCCTCCACACAGCCTCACATCCCTCACACTGCCTCACATCCCTCATACTGCCTCACACACACTCCTCACACAGCCTCACACATCCCTCACACCTGCCCCACATCCCCTCCAATGCCTCACACCTCCCTCACACAGCCTCACATCCCTCCACCTGCCCCACATCCCTCACACTGCCTCACCTCCCTCCACACAGCCTCACACATCCCTCATACTGCCTCACACATCCCTCACACAGCTCACACATCCCTCACACTGCCCACACATCCCTCCACACTGCCTCACACACTCCTCCACACAGCCTCACACATCCCTCACACTGCCCTACACATCCCTCACACTGCCTCACACATCCCTCACACAGCCTCACACATCCCTCACACTGCCTCCTGCCCCACAGACCTCATACTCCCACACATCCCTCACACTGCCTCACACATCCCTCATACTGCCTCAAACACTCCTCACACAGCCTCACATCCCTCCCTGCCCCATCCCTCACACTGCCTCACATACTCCCTCTCACAGCCTCACACATCCCTCACACAGCCTCACACATCCCTCACACAGCCCTCACACATCCCTCACACTGCCCCACACATCCCTCACACAGCCTCACACATCCCTCACACTGCCTCACACATCCCTCACACCCTCACACACTCCTCACACTGCCTCATCCCTCCTGCCCCACATCCCTCACACTGCCCCAGACATCCCTCACACAGCCTCACACATCCCTCCCACACTGCCCACACATCCCTCACACAGCCTCCACACATCCCTCCACACTGCCTCACACATCCCTCACACTGCCTCACACCTCCCTCACACAGCCTCACACATCCCTCACTGCCCCACACATCCCTCACAGCCCCTCACACATCCCTCACACAGCCTCACATCCCTCATACTGCCCCACATCCCTCACACAGCCTCACACATCCCTCACACAGCCTCACACATCCCTCCCACAGCCTCCCACACCTCCTCACACAGCCTCACATCCTCACTGCCTCACACTGCCCCACATACTCCTCACACAGCCTCACATCCCTCACACTGCCCCACACATCCCCACACAGCCTCCACATCCCTCACACTGCCTCACACATCCCTCCCTGCCTCACACCTCCTCACACAGCCTCATACATCCCTCCACACTGCCCCACATCCTCACACTGCCCCACATCCCTCACAGCCTCACACATCCCTCACACTGCCCATCCCTCCACAGCCTCACATCCCTCACACTGCCTCACACATCCCTCACACTGCCTCACACACTCCTCACACAGCCCCTCACACATCCCTCACACTGCCCCACATCCCTCACACAGCCTCACACATCCCTCACACTGCCTCACCATCCCCTCACACTGCCTCACACCTCCTCCCACACAGCCTCACATCCCTCACTGCCTCACACATCCCTCCACCTGCCCCACACATCCCACAGCCTCCCACATCCCTCACACTGCCCACATCCCTCACACAGCCTCACACATCCCTCACACTGCCTCCACATCCCTCCACACTGCCCTTACACACTCCTCACACAGCCTCACACATCCCTCACACTGCCTCACACATCCCTCACACAGCCTCACACCTCCTCACACAGCCTCACACACTCCTCACACATCCCTCACACTGCCTCCACACACTCCTCACACAGCCCCTCACACATCCCTCACACTGCCCCACATCCCTCCACACAGCCTCACACATCCCTCACACAGCCTCCACACACATCCTCACACTGCCTCACACACTCCTCACACAGCCTCACATCCCTCACTGCCCCACACATCCCTCCACACAGCCTCACACATCCCTCACACAGCCTCCACACATCCCTCACACAGCCTCACACATCCCTCACACTGCCTCACACACTCCTCACACAGCCTCACATCCCTCACACTGCCTCACATCCTTCCACACAGCCTCACACATCCCTCACACTGCCTCACACACTCCTCACACAGCCTCACACATCCCTCACACTGCCTCACATCCCCTCACACTGCCTCACACACTCCTCACACAGCCTCACACATCCCTCACACAGCCTCACATCCTCACACTGCCTCACACACACTCCTCACACAGCCTCACACATCCCTCACACTGCCTCACACACTCCTCACACAGCCTCACATCCCTCCACACTGCCCCACATCCCTCACTCAGCCTCACAGATCCCTCACTGCCTCCCATCCCTCACACTGCCTCACACACCTCCTCCACACAGCCTCACATCCCTCCACACTGCCCCACACATCCCTCACACAGCCTCACACATCCCTCACACTGCCCCACACATCCCTCACACTGCTCACACACCTCCTCACACAGCCTCACATCCCTCACACAGCCTCACACATCCCTCACACAGCCTCACACATCCCTCACACTGCCCCACACATCCCTCACACAGCCTCACACATCCCTCACACTGCCCCACACATCCCTCACACAGCCTCACACATCCCTCACACTGCTTCACACAGCCACTGTAGGATGTATCTCTCTACGGACGATTTGTTGATAATAATTACGTGGAGAAAGTCGTCAACCCCATGAAGTACAACTGTTCTTTGTAGTGCTCCATCCAGTCCGTGATGCTGTAGTGATGCTGTTCGTAGTGCTGTAGACTGTGTGATGCTGTAGTGATGCTGTCCGTAGTGCTGTAGACTGTGTGAGCTGTAGTGATGCTGTCCGTAGTGCTGTAGACTGTGTGATGCTGTAGTGATGCTGTCCGTAGTGCTGTAGACTGTGTGATGCTGTAGTGATGCTGTCCGTAGTGCTGTAGACTATGTGATGCTGTAGGTAGACTAAGTAATGCTGACTTTGGTTCATGGCCCAACACGCTGGTTCACGGACCATCATTGTGCAATTAATTTCTCTCTCTACACCTCAGCATCTCCCTCTCTTTCTCGCTCTGTCTTTCTATCTGTTTGTCTGTCTGTCTGTCTGTCTGTCTGTCTGTCTGTCTGTCTGTCTGTCTGTCTCCTCCTTTCTCTTGGAGTGTACCAAGGTGTGTGTGTGTGTGTGTGTGTGTGTGTGTGTCAATGTGTGTGTGTGTGTGTGTGTGTGTGTGTGTGTGTGTGTGTGTGTGTGTGTGAAATGATCCATCACCGCTGGTGTACAGTGGCTGTCTGGCCGTCTCTCACACTCCTCCCCTCTTTCCTCGTCTCTTCTCTCACCTACTACCTCCCTCCTCCTTCCCACCTCCTCCTTCCCACCTCCTCCTCCTCTTCCCCTACACCACCTTTCCACCTCCTCTTCCTTCTCATCTCTTTATCTTCTCCTACTCCTTCTCATCTCCTCCTCCTCCCTTCCCTCTCTCCTCTTCCCCCTTCTCCTCTTCCCCCTCACCCCTCTTCTGCCTCCTTCTTCCCATCCTATCCTCCCTCCTACTTTTTCCTTTTTCACACCGTCTCCTCCATCCTCTCACCCTCCTCCTACCCTCTCCTTCTTTCTCCCCCCTTCCCACTTCACCTTTCCGCCCTCCCATCTTTCTCTTTCGCACCTCCACTTCTCCTTTCCACTTCCCCTCCTACCTCTCCCTCTTTCCAACCATCTCTTGGGGTTCTTCCTCTTCCCCCCTTCATTCTCTCACTCTCTTTCCCACGTCCCTCTTCTCCTCTCTTCCCTTTCCACCTCTCCCTTTCCCTTCTCCTTATCCTCTCCCCTGCTGCTTCTTACCCCATCCTCTTCTTCCTCCTCATCCTCCCCTCTCCTCCTTCCCTCCACCTCCTTTCCATCTCCCGTTCCTTCTTACCTTTTCCCCTGCTCCTCCTCTTCCTTTCCTTCCCTCCTCTTCCTTCCCCTCCTCCTCCTCTTCCTTCCCCTCTTCCTTTTCCTCCCCTCTTCCTCCCCATTCTCCTTCTCACCTCACCCCTATTCCCCCCCTCTCGTTCCCCACACTCCCCCCACCTATGGTCAGGCACAGTGGTGTATTGCATTACTTTATGATCTGAGTGATTTAAATGACATAGAAATGGGAATCCAAGACTAGTGAGTGACATTACGGTCATTGTAACACTTATACAATGAGAGAGAGAGAGAGAGAGAGAGAGAGAGAGAGAGAGAGAGAGAGAGAGAGACTTACCATCTTACTGTTGTTGTATACGTTTAGGGTTTAATCTCCCATTACTTCCCGTCCACGCTGTTTATCTGGTGAAGACTACACTACCTCCCATTACCATAATTACTCACCTCTAAACAGGATGTAGTCCAACCCATAGCTGCCCACTGACCTACTGACCCGAGTCTGGTGTTGCGTCATCTGGGAGGTCAAATGAGGTCATCCGGGGTCAGGAACCGCTTGTCTACCTGTCTTGTTATTTAGACAGGTGTGCGTGTGTGTGTGTGCTGAGAAAGTTTGTGTGTTATTGTAAGTAATCTGTGTTTCTGTGTATGTGTGTTAGTGTGCGTAAGAATATGTATATCTGTAAGTGTTGTATGATAATAATAATAATAATAATAATAATAATAATAATAATAATAATAATAATAATAATAATAATAATAATAATAATATTGACCAATTAATTATTACATCTTAAAGTTAGGTACACAATTTACAACATATAAAACAATAATAACTACAGCACATTAGTTTACATAATTACTAATAATATTCATATTACTTGAACCAGTTATCAGGAAAATTAAGAAATTAGAGAGACGTATTTAAGAGTAAACATTATTACAAGCGACCAATCAATCTACATGATACAGTTCATAGTAAAGTAGTAATGTTATATAAGTGATTGTTGACCTTTCGTGGTGTTCTGTCCTCATGGGTCAGGGTGGCAGTAACAGATATAGTACGAGTGTGTGAATTGTGGCAGGTGTCTTGAGGTGGCAGGTGTCGTCCCGGGTAATTTTTAGTTATTTGAGGTAAGGCGCAGATCTCTAGGTTAGGTTAGTTTAGATTAGGTTTGGTTAGGTTAGGTTAGGTTAGGTTAATAAGTCATTGGTTAAAGTGTTAAGCGTATTGCCTACTGACTATCCTGGTAATTTATTCAATTACTTCTTTAGATAACTCGAATCTAGGAAATATAATCACGGAAAATGTAACCTTACCTTACCTTACCTTACCTTACCTTACCTTACCTTACCTTACCTTACCTTACCAACTCCAACCTAGCCAAAAAATGTGATCTTTTCTTGTGAGACTCGGGTGTAATACTGAGGTTGTATGCAGTATACCTAGGAGACAACAGTATACCTAGGAGACAACATTACATCTATGAGACAACAGTGCACCTAGGAGACAACAGTATACCTAGGAGACAACAGTATACCTAGGAGACAACAGTACACCTAGGAGAAACGTGTACACCTAGGAGACAACAGTACACCTAGGAGACAGCAGTGCATCTAGGAGACAGCAGTATACCTAGGAGACAGCAGTATACCTAGGAGACAACAGTATACCTAGGAGACAGCAGTGCACCTAAGAGACAACAGTGCACCTAGGAGACATGTGTAGGTGGATGAATCTCTTACTGTAAGTCTTGTTGACACACGGACAGCGGCGGGCGGCCAAGTGGTGAACCTCTCCCCATCCATCAGTGACTCTACGGGCAGCTGGACCAGAAGGGAGGTGACGAGGGAGGGAGGGAGAGAAGGAGGAAGGGTGAGAAGCATGGAGGGAAGAAGGGTGATAGCTTGGGAGGGAGGGAGAATGGGAGGAGGATTGAGAGAGGCAGGGAGGATGGGGGTAGGGTGAGTGAGAAAGAGGGAATAGGGAAGGTGAGAGGTGGGAGGAGGATTGAGAGGCAGTGAAGGAGGAATGATGAGAGGCAAAGAAGGAGGAGAAGCAAGGAGGGAGGAAGGGTGAATGACAGGGTGGGTGGGTGAGAGAGAAACAGGGAGGGAGAGTGAGAGGCAAGGAGGGAAGGAAGGAGGAAGGGTGAGAGATAAAGAAGGAGGAAGAGAGACAAGGGAATGAAGGAAGGGTGAGAGAGAGGCGGATAGGGGGGGGAGGGAGGGAAGGAGGAAGGGTGAGAGACAAGGAAGGGGGAAGAGAGGTAAGAAAAGAGGGAGGAACAGCTAATGGGAGACGGGCCGGAGAACTACTGTAGGAGGGAGAATGAAGGAGGTGCAGAAGAAGGAAGAGGAAGAGGGAAGTAAAAGAGTGAGAGGCGGTGAGCAAGGAGGCAAAGGAGGTATGATGAGTGTAGGAGAGGGGCTGAGGGAGATGAGGTGAGGGAGATGGGAGGGAGATAGGGGAGGTGAGGAAGACAGAGCAGCAAATGGAAGGACAAATAAAAATGTTGAGTGAGGAGGAGACGTGAAGGGAGATGGGTAAGGGAGAGTAGGATGATGGGGAAGGGAGGATGGGGGAAGGGAGATGGATGATGGGAAGGGAGGGAGGATGATGGGGAAGGGAGAGGATGATGGGAAGGGAGAGTAGGATGATGGGGAAGGCAGGATGATAGGATGATGAGAAGGAGAGATGATGATGGGGAAGGGGAGTGGGATGATGGGGAAGGAGAGTAGGATGATGGGGGGGGAGGATGGTGGGGAAGGGAGAGTAGGATGATGGGTAAGGAGAGTAGGATGATGGGGAAGGAGAGTAGGATGATGGGTAAGGAGAGGGATGATGGGAAGGAGAGAGATGATGGGGAAGGGAGGATGGTGGGGAAGGGAGAGTAGGATGATGGGTAAGGGGAGTAGGATAATGGGGCGGGAGAGAGGATGATGGAGAGGGAGAGTAGGATGATGGGGAGGGAGAGAGGATGATGGGTAAGGAGGTGGGATGATGGGAGGAGAGTAGGATGAGGATGATGGGATGATGAAGGAGAGAGGATGATGGGAGGGAGAGGGATGATGGGAGGGAGAGTAGGATGAGGGGGAGGAGAGAGGGATGATGGGAGGGGAGAGATGGGAGGGAGAGTAGGATGATGGGGAGGGAGAGTAGATGATGATGAGGGAGGGGAGTAGGATGATGGAGGGGAGAGAGGATGATGGGGAGGGAGAGTAGGATGATGGGTAAGGAGAGGGATGATGGGGAGGGAGAGTAGGATGATGGGGAGGGAGAGAGGATGATGGGTGGGAGGAGAGGGATGATGGGGAGGAGAGGAGGATGATGGAGGGAGTAGGATGAGGATGATAGGATGATGGGGAGGGAGAGTAGGATGATGGGAGGAGAGGATGATGGGAGGAGAGGATGATGGGAGGGAGAGAGGATGATGGGAGAGTAGGAGAGGAGGGAGAGAGGATGATGGGGAGGGAGAGGATGATGGGTAAGGGAGAGTGGGATGATGGGGAGGGAGAGTAGGGATGATGGGGGAGGGGAGAGGATGAGTAAGGAGAGGGGATGATGGGGAGGGAGAGAGGGATAGGGAGATGGGGAGGAGAGAGGATGATGGGGAGAGAGGATGATAGGATGATGGGGAGGGAGAGAGATGGGGAGGAGAGGATGATGAGGGAGAGAGAGAGGGAGAGGATGATGGGGGAGAGAGGATGATGGGAGGGAGAGTAGGATGATGGGGAGGAGAGAGGATGATGGGGAGGGGAGAGTAGGATGATGGGTAAGGAGAGGGATGATGGGGGAGAGAGGATGATGGGGAGGGGAGAGTAGGATGATGGGTATGGGAGGATAATGGGGAATGGAGGATGATGGGTAATTGAGAGTAGGATGAGGGGAAGGGAGGATTATGAGGGAATGGAGGATGATGGGTAAGGGAGATTAGGATGATGGGGAATGGAGGATGATGGGTAAGGGAGAGTAGGATGATGGGGAGGAGAGAGGATGATGGGTATGGAGGATAATGGGGAATGGAGGATGATGGGTACTGAGAGTAGGATGAGGGGGAAGGAGGATGATGAGGAATGGAGGATGATGGGTAAGGGAGATTAGGATGATGGGGAATGGAGGATGATGGGGTAAGGGAGAGTATGATGGGAGGAGAGTAGGATGATGGGTAGGAGGATAATGGGGAATGGAGGATGATGGGTAATTGAGAGTAGGATGAGGGGGAAGGAGGATGATGAGGAATGGAGGATGATGGGTAAGGAGATTAGGGATGATGGGGAAGGAGGATGATGGGTAAGGGAGAGTAGGATGAGGGGGAAGGGAGGATGATGGGGAAGTGTGGTGGATAATAAGGCAGATGAGAGAAACATAAGCAATAGTGAGTGAGGGAAAATTTTTTGAGGTGGTCGTTGGAGTGAGGTGGTCGTTAAAATGAGGTGGTCGTTGGAGTTAGGTGGTCGTTAGGGTGAGTTGGTTGTTAGAATGGGGTGGTCGTTGGAATGGGGTGATCCTGTAGGAGTGAGGTAGTCGCTGCAATAAGGTGTTTAACAGAAGTGAGACAGTCGGTGCAATAGGGTGGGCACAGAGCTGAGGTGATCTTTATGCAGTTGTATGACAATCACTGGACAGACGTGGTCGCTGGAGAGAGAGAGAGAGAGAGAGAGAGAGAGAGAGAGAGAGAGAGAGAGAGAGAGAGAGTACAGTGTGATGGGCTTGGTGCTGTAAACAGATCAGGTGTCGTCTAGCTAGGGCAGCAGACAGGGTAGTGGTAGTGGTGGTGGTGAGGAGGAGTCGGTGTCGGGGATCTTCTGGCCTCCTGCAGTCAACACCTCGATCCTGACAGGACTCCGGGTGGCCACGAAAGGTGTCTGGGGGGATCCTTCCTTCTCCTCTCCTCCTCCTACCTCTCGTCTTGCCTGTCTAGATCCGTCTGGTGCTTCCTTCACACCCCTTTGTCTGACTACCCGCGAACTGTCGGCTCCTGTCACTTCACGATCAGAGGAAGCGGAGTCCTGTTTCGATTAAAGGTTTATTTTACGTGCATATCTTGTGTACGTGTTGTAATGAGTAGAGTGTGTGATATGTGTTTCTCGGTGTATGTGTTTGTTGGTGTAGTTGCTTTGTTTTTGTGTGTGAGTATGATTGTTTAATGTTTATGTGTATATGTCATGAATAATGTGTTTGTGTATATATACATATGTTCACGTGTGTGTGTGTGTGTGTGTGTGTGTACAAATAACACACATTATGGGTTAGTTATAACAAGAAATCTCATGTTTATGCAGCACCAGTATATATCAATTGCTGTGGGAAGTGAGGTAGTTAAGTCCAAGGTTTTACCCATAAAAGAACTTGGTAAAGTTATTAATTTACTCTATATGATATAATGTTCTTTGATTACTTAAGTAGTTCTTGGAATCTAAGATGTTAATGACTCCCTTTAAAATCTCTATTGACATGACATAAAAGTCCAAATTTAATACTACATTCATTTTATAATATGGTACCTAAGAGAAGATGACTCTTCCCTAGTGTGTGTTTATGATATAGTGAAGCATCAAGTCTCCCTCACAACATCCCCTGCAGGTGTACCAGTGGAGTAAGAAGACAGTGACGACGTGACTTGTTTTAAGAACTCCTTTGCTTATATTGAACTGTAGTGCATTAAACCTTGATTCATTACTGTTTAAGATAATAAATACTACCTGTTAATATCCTTCAAACAACCATTAACCAAAGATGATCAAAATTAGGTCAGTAACTACACTAAACGACATGTAAACATATATCCCTCACAAGATAATACTTCTATTAGTCAATCGAGAGAGGCGGACTTTAAGCTTAATTATATTCAACAATGTCTTTGTTCAATTCAATTTCAATTGTTTGTTCCTTGATAGAGGAAGCGGGATCCTAGTGCTGTCACTAGGTCCCCCTGTAGTGTCTTTGTTTAGATGTAAGTTCCCTGAGGCGTATATAAGAGGGGATCTACAACAGATTGATCCTGACACCTCAGCATATTTGTGCCTTGCTTCAGAGACAAGTGTATAAGTTGAGGGTCTCCAGATTAAGTGATGAGGATAGGGAGTCGGTGACGAGTAAACTGTGCCAGTGACTTCTGGGTGATGGACGGTGGTCATCCTCCACTTGTGATAAGAAACACGCGCCACCTGACGTCACCGATTACCAGCTGCTGTCCGTACCCTGTGTCCGAATATATATTTCATCTATAGATTTTATAAACATGAAGTTGATTGATTTCTATGTTAAATAGCCCTCCATTCTATACAATTTAATTCATATACACCAATTTTTCATTAGTCTATCAGTCTTAAATCCGTAAAATTATACAAAAATCTAAGAAAAATGTCACGCGGTAAACGGAGGTCGTGACCATAGGTGTTAGAACCGATTTCCATTTTGGCGGGAAATAGGTGTGTGTGTGTGTGTGTGTGTGTGTGTGTGTGTGTGTGTGTGTGTGTGTGTGACCCCGGCTATCTTCTTTGTTTTGACCGTAAGAACCATTTAATCCAATCTGCTTGTTACACCTGTCTACCACACCTGTTTGTTTGTAGCCTCTGTCTACAATACTTGTTTGTTTTTAATGATTGTCTACTTCTCCTGCGTATAGTGGCTGTCTACCTCTTCTGTTTACAGCGCCAATATGCCGTACTTGTTTATCTAAGCTTATCTAATCCCAGTGTTCTCAGTTGTCTACAATAGTTAATTTGTAAGATACTATCACGCAGGATGTTTATGGAACTTGTTTATAATTTGTTTGTGCTGTTTCCTGTTTTTTTTCTACAGTTCCCTTGTTTACACTGCCCACACATTTATAACGGCTTCATAGTGAGAATTTCCATATTTTCTTTTTCTTCATATTTCTTTTCAAAGCTCAAATACGATATAAATTTCAAGTGAAGTTCATCAGTACTCACCAAAGCTAATTTAACCTAACGATATATTGTTTATATAATCTGTCTACACATCGTTTATATTACCTGTCTATGTACTGTTTATATTTACCTGTCTATACATTGCTTACATTACCTGTCTATGTACTGTTTATATTTACCTGTCTACACATCGTTTATATTACCTGTCTATGTACTGTTTATATTTACCTGTCTACACATCGTTTATATTACCTGTCTATGTACTGTTTATATTACCTGTCTATGCACTGTTTATATTACCTGTCTATGCACTGTTTATATTACCTTACCCAAAGAGGACTGAGCAAAGTTCTATCGTAATCAGTGTTGTATCAGGTAAGCATAGATCAACGCAGGTATGGCTGACGAGGATGACCAAGTCGTGCTGTGATATCGTAAAGGGCTGCACTAAATTATGCTATATTATCGTAGTTATCGTGGATCATATATAATAGTCGTACTGTGAGCGATAATTTATGGCCGAAGAAGATATACGTGACTTTCCTTTGTAAACAGTGAGGTAAGAATTGCTGCAGTTATATGGACTATCAGTATCTTTATTTTATGTATGTTCTAAAGTTTTCTGGCGCTATTCGTACAACAAAAGCAATAAAAACAAAGCGAGAACTAAAGAGGTGATGAGGTAAGGGAGTAATCTTGTGTGAGGAGGAGGAAGTGGTGGTGGTGGGTGGCGACAGTTGTTGGGCACGAGTGGTGGTGAACACAGGTGTGACGCCCCTCACGCCTCCTATGTGTAACGTTTTCTCTATTGATTGTGTGTCGGTGTTTATGACGACACGCACATCGATTCAAACACTTGTACTATTGCTATTGTTTTAGTCGTTAATTTGAGTCAGTATAAGAATACCTTTGGTGTAAGTTATTCTTTCTAATGAAAATTAAAATACCAATGTGGTTGTTGAGCTCAATAATGTCCTTAAGTTTACAATAAGACTTAACTAATAAACTCACCAATGTAACTAATTTGTATTGTGTGCTTGTGTGTTCCACCTGTGGGTCACCAGGGCCCACCAGTTCCACCTGTGGGCCACCAGGGCTCATCAGTTCCACCTGTGGGTCACCATGCTCCACCAGTTCCACCTGTGGGTCACCAGGGCTCATCAGTTCCACCTGTGGGTCACCAGGCCCCACCAGTTCCACCTGTGGGTCACCAGGGCTCATCAGTTCCACCTGTGGGTCACCAGGGTTCATCAGTTCCACCTGTGGGTCACCAGGCCCCACCAGTTCCACCTGTGGGCCACCAGGGTTCATCAGTTCACCTGTGGGTCACAGGCCCCACCAGTTCCACCACCAACTAGTGGGCCACCAGGGGCTCATCAGTTCACCTGTGGGTCACCAGGGTTCATCAGTTCCACCTGTGGGCCTGCAGGAGCTCATCCAGTTCCACCTGTGGGTCACAAGGGTTCATCAGTTCCACCTGTGAGTCACCAGGTTCATCCAGTTCCAACCTGTGGGTCACCAGGGCTCATCAGTTCCACCTGTGGGCCACCAGGGCTCATCAGTTCCACCTGTGGGTCACCAGGGCTCATCAGTTCCACCTGTGGGTCACCAGGCCCCACCAGTTCCACCTGTGGGTCACCAGGCCCCACCAGTTCCACCTGTGGATCACCAGGGCTCATCAGTCTCACCTGTAGGTCACCAGGTCTCATTAGTTCCACCTATGGGTCACCAGGGTTCATCAGTTCCACCTGTGGGTCACCAGGGCTCATCAGTTTCACTTGTGGGTCACCGGGGCACCAGTTCCCACCTGTGGGTCACCCAGGGGCGCCACCAGTTCCTGTGGGCCACCAGGGCTCATCAGTTCCGCACCAATGGGTCACCGGGGCTCATCAGTTTCCGCCGCAGCGGGCCGCAGGGTTCATCAGTTCCACCTGTGGGTCACCAGGGCTGCAGTTCCACCTGTGGGTACCAGGGTTCATCAGTTCCTGTGGGTCACCAGGGGTCATCAGGTTCCTGTGGGTCACCAGGCCCCACCAGTTCCACCTGTGGGTCACAGGCCTGGTTCCGCCTGTGGATCACAGGGCCCCACCGGTTTCCACCTGTGGGTCACCAGGGGTTCATCAGTTCCACCTGGCGTGCCGGGCCCCTGGTTCACCTGTGGGCCACCAGGGCTCATCGGTTTCCACCTGTGGGTCACCAGGGTTCATCAGTTCCACCTGTGGGTCACCGAGGGGTTCATCAGTTCCACCTGTGGGTCACCAGGCCCCACCAGTTCACCTGTGGGTCACCAGGGTTCATCAGTTCCACCTGTGGGTCACCAGGCCCCACCAGTTCCACCTGTGGCGCAAGAGGCTCATCAGTTTGCACTGTGGTCATGGGGTTATGGGTTTGCCTGGCCGGTCACCAGGGTTCATCGGTTCCTGCAGCGGGTCACTAGGGTTCATCAGTTCCACCTGTGGGTCACCAGGGTTCATGGTTTCACCTGCGAGGGTCACTTGGGGCCCATCCGGTTTCACCTGAGTCACCCAGGCCTCCACCAGTTCCACCTGTAGCCGGGTCACCAAAGCCCATGAGTTCCATCTGTGGGTCACCACCAGTGCTCAATAGTTTCACCTGTGGGTCACCAGGGCTCACCAGTTCCACCTGTGGGTCACCAGGGACCACCAGTTCCACCTGTGGGTCACCAGTGCTCGTCAGTTCCAACTGTGGGTCACCAAAGCCCATGAGTTCCATCTGTGGGTCACCACCAGTGCTCAATAGTTTCACCTGTGGGTCACCAGGGCTCACCAGTTCCACCTGTGGGTCACCAGGGCTCACCAGTTCCACCTGTGGGTCACCAGGGCCCATCAGTTCCAGCCACCGAACACTACCTGTCAACAGTTCCACTATTAGTACCGGAGGCAGCGACACGCCCTGCCGGTAATGGCGGCATATACTGTGTCGTGGTCACCTGTGTCTCGTCCTCACCTGTCCATTAGTACAGATCACCTGGCCCTCCCCCTGTCCATCCCATTATTATTAGATTAAGTATAGCGGGCACCTATCTATTACGCTCAGTACATTGGCGCGATGATATGTTTATAAGGCCCGCTCGCGCACACACACACACACACACACACACACGCACACACACACACACACACACACACACACGCACACGCACACACACATACACACACACACACACACACACACACACGCACACACACACACACACACACACACACACACACACACACACACACACACACACACACACACACGCACACACACACACACACACACACACACACGCACACGCACAAGGAATCAGTCAATATATCCCCATTTCAATCTTCTTCTCCCATTGGCTGCACAGGATATGAGAAATTATTTTACCTATTGTTAATATCTCCTCAGCTTGACGGAACAAAAACTTGAAACAAACACCCATGTCTGCTGCGGCCACAAGCTCTAGTGTTCTCTTATCTGATTCTACTATATCATCAGATTTTTGTCCATGACGTTTATTGTTGTAAGAATATGTTAATGACTTTAAGAATGGATGAGGGGAGTATTTTTTTAGAGGCCAGCAGGTGGACCAATTGTGTTGGCATTATTTCAAGCCATTTTGGATCATTGTTATCCTCTACATAAAGGTGCAGACACGACTTTCTCACCTGTGTGTCTGTGTAACAAAAACACAGTAGACTGATCCTAGCAGACTCAGGTGTAGAGATGATCAGCTGTCTACCGTTAAGAGAAGGAAACAGTGGTAGGTCTTGGGTACCTTTGCTATAGGGACGAGTATGGGGCAGCGGCGGCAGGTGCAGAGCGGCGGCACGACGGCAGGCTGACACAGTTTCCAGAATTCGGGGAGCGCGCGTGGCGATGACGGTGACGAGGGCGGTGGAGGGAGCCAGGTGAAAGGCCGCACCCTAGTCATTAAGTCATCCACGCGACGACTACACACCAGTCCTCCCCCTCACCTGTCTCTAGCTTCTGACCCAGCAACGTTTTCCCAGTTGTGTTAATGGATGCCACAGCAGCGTTTTACCAGTACAGTAGTATTAATAGATGACAAATGTTTCCCCAATAGTGTTATTGGATGACAAACGTTTCCCCAGTAGTGTTATTACAGTAGATCACACAGAAACGTTTCCTAAGTAGTTTTAACACATGGCATGGCAAAGTTTTCTCATTAATGCTAAATAAATGACACAGAAACGTCATTCACTTGTGTTAGCAGACGATACAGCTGTGCTTTCACAGTTGTGTTAACAGAGGTCAAGGCAACGACATGTTTTAGTCTTGTATGATAGTGACATAGCGACGTTTTCCATGAATGTAGGTTTTTAATACAGCGGGTTTTTTTCGAGGAAAGAAAGTTAACAGCACTTAGGTTCTAGTAGTGTGACCGTAAACCCTCTACAGGTGGGTAAGCTCAAAACTCAGTGGGATTTCTTCAGCCGTGGGTGGGGGGGGGGGAGGGGTGGATCACAGCATAACGTTTTCCAGTCGCGTAAGCTTCTGGCACAATGTTTTCCAGTAGAGTAAGCTTATATACAACACTTTCCAGCTATGTGAACTTATGGTACAACGTCTTACAGCCGTGTGAACTTATGGTACAACACTTTACAGCTGTGTGGACTTATGGTACAACACTTTACAGCTGTGTGGACTTATGGTACAACACTTTACAGCTGTGTGGACTTATGGTACAACACTTTACAGCTGTGTGGACTTATGGTACAACCTTTCCCAGAATCTATACTCTGACTCCATATCCATGACTTATACACTGACTCGATCTCCATGTCAGTGTGTGGTGATTTTCTCTTAACTTCTTCCTTTCTTCTCACTTTCTCTCTGATCTATATCCCTTTCTCTACTGTCTTCCTCCCTCTCTCTCTCTTGAAGACACATCTAAGTTGATTTTATTTTTGATTTATTTTACATTAATCAGATTGTTTGTATATTTTGAGCGTGACTGTTTCCCCACCACCACCACCACCCGCCCACCCACCCACACGCCCTCCACCCACCCACCCACCCACCACGAGTCTCTGTTTCTCTCATCTGCATTCCCTCCCTCCTCCCCTTATCCAAACCAACTTTCCAAACACCTTCTCCTCTTCCTCCGCCTTACATAATCCCCTTCTCCCTACCTGCTAACAACCCCACTCCTGCTTCCCACCCTCCCTTCCATTACCTCCTCTCCCTTACCTCCCACGACATCCTTCTCACCCCCCCACAACCTCCTTCCCACACTCCTATCTCTTCCTTCCACAACCTCCTCCTCCACCTCTACCACAATCCCATCCTTCCACCACTCCTATTATACCTCCCTCATAACTCCCTACCATGCCTGACTGCATATCCGCCTCCCTCACACCTGCCAACATTCTCTCCTCCCCTCTCTCCCACACCTGCACCAACGCTACACCCTCAAGACACCTGCACACCACACACACACACACACCAACACACCTGTCCACAACTGCCAGCGTGATGGTGAACTTGTCTGTTTTAGCTGATGATGACAGTGGGAGGGAGGAAGTACAGGGGGTTGAGGGGAGAGAAGGGAGAGGGAAGAAGGGATAAAGAGGGGAGAGGGAAATGGTGGTAAATGGGGAGAGAAGGGAGGTAAAGAATGAGAATGAGTATTATTATTATTATTATTATTATTATTATTATTATTATTATTATTATAGTAATAGTAGTATATTAAAGTTATTATTTTTTATATATTTTAACAAACTTAAGCTGCAAGGAGACATCAGACGTGTCACTGCTAAGTCCCTTCACCGGGGTGTTCCCTTTCCAAAGACAAGATATGTGAAGCAGGATAATCTGAACTGATGGAGATTATATGGCAGAAAAAACAACAACAATCCGTAGCAGTTTGTAGGGTAGTAGTTGTGGTGGTGTGGTGACAGTGGTGGTAGTAGTAGTAGGTGGTAGAGTAGTGGTAGGGTAGTAGTGGTAGGATGGTAGTGGATCTTTCTGGTGAATTTGAAGCCAGTAGACAAGAGAAAACAGGCACCAGCCAATCCATTGTTTACCATGATGAGATGTATCAAATAAAACATGTATATGGAGCAAGTAACAAGATCACTAGATTACAAGATGGTGTAACCGCTAGACTAAGGTTAGGATATAAGTACCTTTGGCAGTATGTTCCTCAAGAATAAATTTAAAGTGTGTGGCCAGACATATGGCCACACACTCCAACACTTCGTCTTAGGCTGTGAAAAAATAGAACCTTATAGAGATAGATCCAAGTGCACTGTGTATCAATGGTATAACACTTTACCTCTGATGACAAGGTAGATGATATACTAAGGCTGTGTCCACACTTCGCATCTAGTGGCATGGTAGTAGTGGTAGGGTGGTGGTAGTAGTGGTAGGGTAGTGGTGGTAGGGTAGTGGTGGTTGTGGTGGTAGTGTAGTAGTGGAATGGAGGTAGTGGTAGGGTAGTGGTGGTGGGGTAGTGGTGGTGGGGTAGTGGTGGTAGGGAGGGGGTAGTGGTGGGGTAGAGGGTAGGGTAGTGGTGGTGGGGTAGAGCAGGGGTAGGGTAGTGGTTGTAGGGCAGGTGGTAGGGGTAGTGGTGGGGTAGGAGTGGTAGGTAGGCTGTAGGGTGTGGTAGGGGTAGAGTGGTAGGGTGTGTGTGGGGTAGGGGAGTGTGGTAGGGTAGGGGTAGTGGCTAGGGGTAGTGTGTAGGGGTAGT